ATGGCCAAGGAACTGTTCAACCTACTCAGGAGAGCTCGCGAGGATACTCGTCTACCAGGGTTTCGACTGTTAAATTGGTATGTCAAGGCTTTGCTTGTATTTTCTTTGGTATGTCCTCTAGTCTCTACATTACCTGTTACTTCTGATTCTGGGCAGCATGCCTTTACTTTTCCTTTTTTTTGGAGCTTGCATTTTGTATTTACTAATTGGTTAGAATTCAAGTGCAGGCATTTCTTCTTCACAGCAATGCTATTTGTGTATGGTCGCATTTTGAGTCAGCGGCTTGTCAATACTGTCACCTCGGATAAATTTTTATATCAGCTAGTGAGCAGTCTCATCAAGTATCATATGGTTATTTGTTATTCTTTATATATTGCAGGTTAGTGAACCTTTTGTAGCGATCCTATGATAAGTATCACCTTCTTGACACTTTAACCATTGCAATCAACATCATTTCGTGGTGTGCAATTTGCGAAAATTTTCATGTTTTTTTGGTTTAATTTCTATTAATTTATTCACTCCTGAATTTTTCATTTGCCTGATTATATTAGTTTCTTCAATCGTCTGGAAATTTTAATTTTCTTGACAATTTTGTAACATTTTACCTCATTATTTCTCCGCTTCTTGTTGGGCTCAGGCTTTATGTGGTTCATTCTTACTTTAAAGAAGAAGATGTATAAATATCAATTTGGGCAGTATGCATGGACGCATATGATTCTAATTGTCGTTTTTACACAGTCCTCTTTCACAGTAGCCAATATTTTTGAAGGAATCATCTGGTAATTCAGCCTTCTCACAGGGAAAAAAAATTCTGTTAAAGAAAATAAAATCTTATGTGGCTTGAAGTTTATCCTGGAATTTCACTATTTCCTTACGAATGAGTAATATTTCCGCAGGTTTCTCCTACCAGCATCACTTATTGTTATCAATGACATCGCTGCCTATATAGTTGGGTTCTTCTTTGGAAGAACACCACTGATCAAATTATCTCCAAAGAAAACTTGGGAGGGATTTATAGGAGCCTCTATATTGACTATGATATCTGCTTTTGGTGTAAGAAAATTCTTCCTTACTTTCCATTTTCCTTGCCGGATTTATTGAGTGTCTTATGTCAACCCGTGCCTGATGTTACTCAACTATTTTCATAATTATGAAACACTATGATCAGGTCTGGATTGCTTGATATTGCTTGAAGTAGTGCTTAACTAGGTCATAGGTCATGCATGTCTGTCTGTCGTGGGTGGTTTCCGTCGTAATGGTTACTTGTTAGCAATACGCAGTTGAAGAGATAATTAAGTTATGCGCGTCTGTCTGTCTGTCTGTCATAGGCGATTTCTTGTAGTAATGATTACTTGATAACAATATGCAGTTAGACATTTGTACTTGAGGAATTAAGTTATGACATATTTGTTTGTTTTTCAGCTTGCTAATGTCATGGGTCGTTATCAGTGGCTTACTTGTCCAAGAACGGTAATTGTTTTGCAAAACCGCCTTACTTGCTTTAGAAGAAGCTTTTTCATATTTTGAAGCTCTTACTGTCGTATGGTTCAATGAGCTCAGGATTTATCAACTGGTTGGCTTCACTGTGATCCTGGTCCTTTGTTTAAGCCCGAATCTTTCACTTTACCAGGATGGACTCCTGATTGGGTCAGTAAAGACTATAAATTGAATCTTATTTGATATGAATAGTATATCTCTTCTTTCACGTCTTATTCTGGCTTTCCTTCAATCGTATAGTAAAATTGTCTCTAATGTATGCATCTATATTCTGTGTGTGTGTTTGACCAGTCTTTAGCTGAGGCCATATTATATTGCTGATTTCTGATCACTTTTCATTTTATTTTTGGTTGAAAATTTTTAGTATACATTTGTTAGAACTTAGAATTATTGGTCAACCAGACCATAACTTAAACCTCTAACAAAGGGAGAGTAGTGGGGTAAGTTGAGCCTGTGAGTCACTCAAGCTTTACTTGAGAGGTGTGAGCCATTTGAGCTACATAATGAAGTAGAAAGAGTCGTCATAAAGCCATTTGGGCTTTAGAGAGGAACCAGGAGAAAGTGAGAATTGCCGAGGAATCCTCAATGAGTTGGATAGAGACGAGAAGAGAGTAGGATATATGCAATTTATAGTGTACTGAGTCTATAAGAAAATATTATATCTGCCTGATGTATATCTTTTAGATATGCATAGTATAATATCTATCCAGATTTTGTCATATGCTTTTCTCTTTTGAGGATTTTCTATGCAAGTTATTAACGTCAATTTGTTTTCCATCGCCCATTTAATTTTACATAAGAGAGGAAGAGTAAATCTTCGAAAAATTATGAGCCCATATTGACTGTAACTATGAAGAAAACCGTTGAGAACAATCGAAAGAATACAAGAGGACAATACATTAAAAATAATGCCCAAGCCAGAAAGAGCTAGAAAAACTGGCAAAACCTAGAAAAGCAAAATACAGAAATGGGCTTCCAGTCAAGAGATTGAGAGATAAAGATGGATGTTTCTTACTCAACAATGGGTATTAGAGATAATTCTGTTGTGCCCTTACAAAACCGTTGAGAACAATCGAAAGAATACAAGAGGACAATACATTAAAAATAATGCCCAAGCCAAAAAGAGCTAGAAAAACTGGCAAAACCTAGAAAAGCAAAATACAGAAATGGGCTTCCAGTCAAGAGATTGAGAGATAAAGATGGATGTTTCTTACTCAACAATGGGTATTAGAGATAATTCTGTTGTGCCCTTACAAAACCGTTGAGAACAATCGAAAGAATACAAGAGGACAATACATTAAAAATAATGCCCAAGCCAGAAAGAGCTAGAAAAACTGGCAAAACCTAGAAAAGCAAAATACAGAAATGGGCTTCCAGTCAAGAGATTGAGAGATAAAGATGGATGTTTCTTACTCAACAATGGGTATTAGAGATAATTCTGTTGTGCCCTTACAAAACCGTTGAGAACAATCGAAAGAATACAAGAGGACAATACATTAAAAATAATGCCCAAGCCAAAAAGAGCTAGAAAAACTGGCAAAACCTAGAAAAGCAAAATACAGAAATGGGCTTCCAGTCAAGAGATTGAGAGATAAAGATGGATGTTTCTTACTCAACAATGGGTATTAGAGATAATTCTGTTGTGCCCTTACAAAATTGTCTATTCTCACCTTACTTGGTCGGTATGAGGGGAATCATTCTGATATTTTTTTTTTTTTTTTTGAACTTTTTAAGGTAGGTGCTCTCACCATTCTCCTGCCAAATATTTATTATGTTAGAGATCAAACCTTAACTAATAGCTTTCATTGAATCTTTCGTCAACATGATTCTTGATGCTGTGGGAGGCTTTTTGGCACCCTTGATCTGTCATTCATCTATTTTCTTTTCCTTCTTCCTAATATTGTTTAGCTTACAGTACTTCATGAAATTGTTCCAAATCTGTGAGGAACTCACATTTCTGTGTTCTCTTTCAGTTCCCATGGAAGAAGGTAAGCATATTGCCAGTTCAAGGACATGCATTATGTCTCGGTTTATTTTCATCAATAATTGCTCCTTTTGGAGGCTTCTTTGCGAGTGGTTTTAAAAGAGCCTTCAAAGTCAAGGTCCATTCCGAATACTGTCCTCGTGTAGTTTCGTGAAGTCTTTATTTTGAGATTATCTATCTTATATCATTTCTCTGTTCGATGCAGGATTTTGGTGATAGTATTCCTGGACATGGTGGAATTACAGATAGAATGGATTGTCAGGTGAGCCACTGAGAATTCCGAACTTTGCTGCGTTTTTATTCATTTTCCTAATGCAAAACTCTTGATCAACAATAGATCTGTAAAAGAAACCATAGATTCATACATTCTAATTTAAGGCATTGCATGGATCATTTGGACGACTTTTACAATTAGGTTCTCTAATTGAAACTGGATGGTGATTCTTAGTTTAATTGCGACTATATTTCAAATGATTTCTACTTCAAAAAGTGTTAAAGGTTAGGAGTACTAAAGTTTGATGAAATTATTTTCGAAGATTGTGTCCCAACCACCGAAATCTTGTAGAAATTAAACCCTTGATGTAGTGGCTATTATTAGAATTGGAACATTTTAGTTCGAAGATTCCAATTTCTAATATGGAACCTACTCCTTGAAGTCGAAAATGAGTAGTTTTGTCACTTTGTCCTCTATCCTGTGGGAGGTTCTAGCTGGTTAAATAGTATGAATATTTGTGTCGCATATCAAAGTAGTTCTGTTTATTACTTATTCAGATAGTGCTACCCTTTCCCTCATTTGTTCACTGTCATATTTGCATGATACTTTATGTAGATGGTGATGGCTGTATTCGCCTACATATTTCATCAATCCTTTGTTGTGGCTCAGAGCATATCTGTTGACACAATCTACGACCAGGTAGTCTTATGCTCCATCATTTCTGTTTATGATCTAAAGCTTATCCTTTGTTGGAGAATCACCTATGCTGTGTATTGCTGCTTTATAGATACTAGTGAATCTCACATTCGAGGAACAGGCAGCTCTTTACATGAAGCTGGGTCAAATCTTGCAACAGCGGATGATTAGTTAGAAGCTTAGAGATAAAAATCTGATGCCTTCCAATCTATCTCGCTGTTTAGAAAAAGTTCGGACATTGTACCTTAGTGATCAGTCATAAATAATAATCTTTCTGGGTAGCCTGAAAAATCAAGTTGTTTCTTAGATGTGTAATCAATAACTATATCATTTGTTTAGGGTTTATATGATTCTTTTATTTTAGTTGAAGAGAGTATGCAATCGTATAAAAGAAACCATTTTAGACAGTGAAGTTATCAGCTGTAGCCATTACTTAAAAAGTTGTGCAATGGGTCTTTTCTATTTTAGTCTCTTTTAATCTCAGTATCTTTTATTTTTATTCGTTTTCATTGCCTCTGTATTTTTTTATTAATGATACTAAAATACGAAGTTAAATAAAACAAATGAAATTGAAGAATTATAACATTAAAAATAGTGGCGCACAGAAGGTTAAAAGAAAACTACATGGAGTAAAATAGATTGAACATACTGCAATATTTTACAGATGTTGCGCTTCAGCTCTGTGAAAGAGTTAAATGCTAAGTCACTCTGTAACAAATAAAGCCCTGACGTCAATGAACAAAAATACGTAACTGCTGTTATTTGTACTACAAAAATCTAAGTTTCTATTCGTTCCTTACAGTGAAAAGAAGGAACATAGCCCAAAAGATTGCATTTTTTTTCTTCTCTACCTCCAGGGTACACTCAACACAGGTCAAAAATTGTCATAATTTGTCTTCAAATTCGTGTCTTCTTACTGGGTTTTGGGTTTTTCAATCTTCACGTAGGGGAGAATTCCCATTAAATGAAGAACTTTTGGTGCCCATCCTCTTTGCTGCGCCCGGCAAAACATTAAGAACGTGTTAGCAAAGTAGGAACTCAAACCCATGAAACCATGCCACAGGGCATGACCTTGAGGATTGATGCTCCAATGTGATATCTTCTCACATAAACACCGATCGATTACCCAACAGAAAATGCCTAAGAGAAGAGTCAGCAAGTACAGCCTCGCTAACCGCTTAGCCGAGGCATCTTCTGTGTATATATAATACTTATACATTCGAGGTATGCAGAGGAGACAGAGAATCACATAGTGCAGCTTGAAACCGATGTCATAACGAAGAATTGAGTGAGCCACAGCGAAAATGGCCCCGTATAGGAAGAGGAATGTTGGCATCGTACTTCGGTAATGCCAATCTGGTGAATAGAGAATATACATGTAAAGAAGCATTTCCCAGATCATTGGTGTTTCATCACCTTGCTGTTGCCTGGTTAGAAAACAAAGAGTTGATCGTTGGTTGTTAAAGCTCAGTAATGAACAAACAATCAAGAACACAGCCTTCAAATATCTAAATGGAAAGAACTGCAACCAGAACACCAAAGGCATGCCATTAGAACTTACACTTTTTGCAATGTGGCATGATAGAACATGCTGCCAATGGCCAGTATCATATTTGATATGTGAAGTACACTAAATCTCTTCTCAAAACCTTGTCTCAAAGCATTTGCAAGACCGATCAGAGCCAAAAGAACGGTTGGAATGTTTGATATTGTGTTGTAAAACTCGGCAATATAAGAAGAATAAGCATAATTCTTCTCACAACACTCTATTGTAGATGTGACAGGACCCCAGAAACTTGATATTCCATCAGCCATCCTCGACCACCTCGCCCTCGATATCGCTAATATTCAGCAAAATAGCCTGGAGTAGAAGGTTGAGATAATCATCAAATACTAAACCAACTGCCTGTAGATGGAATATGTTGGTTCATCAGGCTCTCTCAGATTTAGATACTATCAAAAATATACAAACCTCAATTATGTCCATTCAAGATTACATCGTCCTAAATCCTAATATGGCTCTAATCAACAGTAATCTATGTCAAAACGGAATCTCATAGCATTCAAAACAAAGAATCATCCAAGTCATTAATGCACTCACAACCCAAAACGTAGAACAAGAAGAAGCAGATCCCAGATTACACATTCCATTCCCCCTGTTTATCGGTAGACTACAATAAATCACATAAACAACAAGATCTATCAGGATTCTTGAACGGTTGCCACAACCGAACGTTTATATTCAGAATCAAATCCAAAAACAAACGCAATCAAGGATTCACCCTTCCCAGTTCTTGCTACTTTTGAGTATTTGAATCCAAGAGGGAAAAACGGAAATGAAAAACACAAAATCAATCAATAGCAGAAGAAATAAGAAAACATTGTACGCTCTAAATTCCATTGACGAGGGTAGAGAGAAAACGAACCGTCTTAGCTGGTGTAGATGACTTTGTTGTTCATTCTCAGATTTCTTCGGGAAGCGGATCAATTTCAATGGCCGATAATCTGACTTTCGCCTTCAAACGAAGAAAGGGACGAAGACCAGCTGCTACTTCCTTTAATTGGAACTCCAAGTTTAAAATAGTTAAATCTTTCAAGATTGGTTTATATAACTTTCTTCAACTTTTCCTCCCCGAATCTGAATCCCTTCATTCCATTGACCGTTCGTTCGTGTTCATTCCGACGTTTTTCCGTGTCTTCTTTAAATTTGTGTAAGAACAAGAAGTCTCCGGGGCGTCGGCTGGGCCGGTGCTGCCGACAGTCTTGGCCCGGTATCTTTGTCCCAGGCCCATCTCTTTTCAACCGGGCCCAAAACAATTCTTATTCCCATTTTTTTAATTAATTAATTAGTTGCTTACCATTAACCAGTAACGTTTATATACCCCAAATCAAAAATTAAAGGTCTCACAAAATAAATAAAGAAAAAATCCAGATTCAATGAATGTGGACACTGGAGATGGTCACTGCCGGTGGCCATGCTAGATGGATAATAGTAATTAATCTAAACAAACATTAAAAAAGACAAAAATAAAATAAAATAAGGAATATTCGAATATGTCGAAAGAAAGCAGCACCAATTTTCCGCATTCAGCTGATGAGGTGTAGAAGACGACAAAAGAAGTGACGTGTTGAGTGCAGTGAACACGGAGCTCATGGGAGCCACGTGTTATCACAAGTCATTCAATGGTGTCGTATGTTAAACAAACGCCGTTAAGTTTAGTGTAATGATTAAGCTTAATTAATCCCATTTTAAGTAACTAAAAGATGGTTAACGTATGAACAGTTCATACGTAGTCCGTGTGGACTCGGCCGACTCGGCCGACTGCACCTGAAGGGCTGCTGCCGTCACCGTTATGGCTCCATATTTACTCAATCATTTTGAATGGACAATTCTGAACCGTACACCACACCGTTACTCCATCTTCACCACACCATGACCACATCTTCCATTCCTTCCACACCCTCCTCTTCTCTGCCGAGGATTCGGTTACTTTATAAACTAAACCTTAAATCTTCACTCGGATTTCATAACTATGCCCAACAAAATGGATAGATTTGCCGAAATCTTCCGCCATGGTGCTGAAGCCGCCGTCTGGGACACCAGCAGCGGCAGCGACCATTCGCCGGAAAACTCCGCCGCCGACCTCTTCGACCTCGTCAAATCGTTCATGGAAAGAGATGATGTGGAAATTAATGAAGGGGAGGAGGAGGATGGCGGTAAAGAAGAATCAGATAGTTTCTCTTGTGATTCAGATGCAGGGGTTATCAAACTAAAAAATCTGTTTGGTTCACGGGATAATGAGAGTGACGAGATCAGAATTGAAGCAGAACAAGCACTGAAGAAGCTCGTCGGAGGAAGATCGTTTCAGGGGATTAAACGAAAATTGATGGCACATTTGCGCAGAAAAGGATTCGATGCCGGTGAGTTTGAGTTTCGTTTTCAGTTTAAATTGAACCCAATTTTCGTTGAAGGAGTTTAATTCACTTGATTTTGTTTGGCTCGTGCAGGACTCTGCAAATCGAAGGGGGAGAAACTGCAGTCATTTCCGGCAGGGGATCATGAGTACATCGACGTCAATTTTGGTGGAAATCGGTACATTGTAGAAGTATTTCTAGCCAGAGAATTTGAAATTGCCCGTCCGACCAGGAAATACACGTCATTACTCAACACATTTCCAGAGATCTTCGTCGGAAATCTGGAGGAGCTGAAGCAGGTGGTGAAACTAATGTGCTCTGCCATGAAACAATCCATGAATATTAGGAACATGCATGTGCCTCCATGGAGAAGAAAGGGGTACATGCAGGAAAAATGGTTTGGTTCTTACAAGCGGACCACAAACCATAAAGGGTCAGGATCGGCAGAAGCAGAAACTTCGCCAGGAATGAGTTCAGCCTGTTTCAAAACCAGCCATTGCAGAGGAGATTTTGGTCGAAACAGAGGTATCATGGTTGGAAATTTAACCGCTGCCTTCGGCGCCGATGGGTTGCTACTGTAGTCAATAAATTGTACATAAAATCTGCTCATATTGATTGTTCGTATTAGGGGTTTGATTCTTTTTGTTCTTGTGCATTTTTGTCCCAAGTTTTGCAACCAAATGCGGAGAAATCTATATCACCACAAACTCCTGGTTTGTCCTGTACAGATCTTTAAACAGGGCTTTAACTTGATTTGAGCAACAAATTTCATAGCCCTAGAAATACAAACAGTCCCAATTTCAGAATTTCCATTTTCAAAAATTCCTTTGTTCAGTAAATTTCAGACATACAATCCCGATCTCTTAGAAATGTAGGCACCGATAGACGCGAACTGCTAGGAAATCAAAGCAGCTTGCCCTGGACGGCGACGAAAAAAAAATTGATGCGAGGGAAGGTTCAGAACCCTATAGCATCTCATAATCAAACAAAACCAGACACACGAAAACTCATCCAAAACGGATTGAGAAGAAAAGAAAATATAAGAAGATCAGTAAGCAGATTCGTCGACGAAGATCCGATTAGATCGAATTCAACGACCGGCCAGTTAACTTCTGTGGGTTTGATTTAGCTGCAGCCTCTTCGGCCGGTCAAGAACAAAGGAATCGATTAACTCTCACCCTTGTCTTGGTACATGCAGCCATTGGAAAACAGATCTTACAAATGCGAAAGACATAGCTTCCAGTTCCACATCGATGAGAACATTGTCTATTGAATGAATTGGGCGCGACGACGAAGTTGTGGAGGATGCTGTGAGAAGGACAGATTATTAGCCCTAGCGAGGCCATTTAAAAGGAAGGTTTAGTGAAGCGCAAAGAGGACGGGTTCGGGAGATCGTGACCGTTGATCCTTACAAGCGAGGAGATGGGGTTTGTTTTTAGCTAAAGTTATATTTTAATTATTTTTTAAATGCTTAATTAAACATATGTGAGTCTTACGTCTCCTTAGTCTGCCCGCTTACTTTTATATATAAATATATTTGTTATATTGAATTTTGAATTTAAAAAAATGATGTTAAACACCATAGTTTTACCTTTTATTAATAGAAGTGATATAAAAATGATGTTTTTGTCACTGAACATCCACGACAAGAACCAGAAAGCAGGACAAAGCTGTGAAAATCTAGAATGGTTTCTTCGCAGGCTTATCTCGGTGTTGAGCATTTAACAAGCATGTTGGAGCTCGAACGTCTTGAATCATGGATGAAGAGCCATCTACAACGTTCTTCTTGATCCCTTTTGGTAGGTCATGTTCATCGTTTTTTGGTAGGTCAAGTTGACTCAATACACACACAAACGCAAAGAAGAATGATTATTGCATATAAACTAATATGTTTTTTTCATCAACTACTGGTTTGAATCATTCATATACACCAACCTCCAAAAACAAATCATGGTTGACTCATTCTTCTCTCCCCCTCCAAAAGTTCAAACTTAGGTTGAGATTGAAACATAAGTATGGAAACCCGGACACAAATAATGATAAAGAAGAGGTTTAGAAGTGTCATTTCAGCTCACTCTTATCATAGCGTCTGCCGATCAAGGTTTGACTTTTGGGTCGAGCTTAGATTCTTGGCCTTCAAATTTTGGACTTTAAGTTCACTCTCATTATATGATCGACTCAAACAAAGATCCATTTTGGGTCGAGCTTAGATTGTTGGTCTTTGAACTTTGAACTTTAAGCTCACTCTCATTACCCTGTCGAATTGAACAAAGTTTGATTTTAGGTCGAGCTTAGATGCTTGGCTTTTGAACTTGGAACAGGTAGAGGAGACTGACTTGTGGCATAAGTTTAATTGAAATGATTAGTTTAACAATGTATATTAAATTAAGGTTGAAATAATTTGGAATGGGCCAAGACTGAGTGGATGCCCAGTCATAAACGGCAGCGTTTGGTCAGAATGAGGTGTGCTTGACTTGGACTTTTTCAATGAAATATGGTTGACTCCAAACTGATTAAACGGAAAAAGAGATCTGATGTGAGAATCAACCACACGTGATGAATTGTAGGTGTTGTGCGTCGCACCTGAATATTGCCCAATTCACCATCGTCACACGTCATCAACTCTCAGATACCATTCTGTGGAGTAGAAAATAATAAATAAAAACCTCATAAACTATCAACTCCGCTTCCACCAAAACCCCTCTTTGTCGATCTCTCTTCTTATTTGACCATGAAGAAGCTCTGCCGGAAAAGCTCCGTCCATCCATCCACGCCGATCATCTCCGACTTCCTTTCGTTTCTTCCAGCCACCATATTTGCTCTCACGGTGGCGCTATCCGCCGATGACAAAGAAGTCCTGGCCTATCTCATCGCCTGTTCCAACACCAGCAACCGAAAAGCCGCTCGGAAAATCCCCAGCGGGAAGAGCGGTGTGGATCACGCTCCGCTCTTTGACTGCGATTGTTTCATGTGCTATCGGCGTTACTGGGGGAGATGGGACTCGTCGCCCAATCGGCAACTAATTCACGAAGTAATCGAAGCTTATGAAGACGGATTAGCTAAATCCAAAGCCGCAGCAACGTCGCAGAGAAATTGCAAGAAAGAGAGACGGAAGAAGAAGAACGAATCGGGCCCGGATGAGTCGAACCGGTCCGAATCAAGGGTCGGAAAGGTGAAGATGAACGAGACATCGGGTTGTGTGCAGCAAGAGAGCAGCCGCGACAGTAACAGAAAAGAGGAGGAGGAAGAAGGAGAAAGAGGATCGGTTAGAAGGTTCGTGAGTTTTGTGGGGGAGAAAATTTGGGGTGCTTGGGGCTAACAATCAATTTGAATCCCAAACCTAGATTTGTTCTTCTCTTAATCATCTAACAAGATGACAAAATAGGACTCTGTTTTTCCTCTCTGTTTTGGATTTTTGGTTTGCTCTGTTCTCTGTAAATTACTTCCCTCCTGTAAAAATCATCGTATGCAATTCCAAGGCTCAGGCTTGTGCTTGTGCTTGTGCTTTGTGCCTTGTGCCTGTGCTTTGTGCCTGTGCTTGTGCTTGTGGGTGACCCACTTCTGTATCTATAGATTATATATGTAGTAGAATTAATGGGATTGAGAAGCGTGCATGCATGGCCTCTGCATCAAATGAATTGATAGTGCCTTTTGGGATTCTGGATAGTTGGAAAGATCTTTGGTGGCTGTCCATCGCCATTCCCCCACTTACGAACAGGAGAACCTGGTGGAGATCCCAATAAATTAATCTCGATACCGTCGAACAACATTGGAGTATCCCAAATTTAGATTAAAGTTTACATTTTGCCATCTGGGTTGGCTTCGTTTATGCATTTTAATCGGTTTAATTTAATGTTTCATTATTTGTTAAAGGTTTTTAAGTCTTTGGGGGAAGAAGAGTATGGTTTAGAATAAGAATCTAGTTCTTGTTAATAAATATTTCTTCCTTCTTGAGATAAAAAGAGTTGGATTAATCACAAAAATGGCTGTGTTTTTAGTGCTTAAAATGTGTGTAAACAAGTGGATGATGAACATGTGTTGCAATTCATGAAGATTGTACCCAGAAAGGGACAAATTAAAGTTGCCATTCACAAATTTTGGCCTTTTAATCTAACCGTTCTTTATAGGTTTTCTTTTAATTTCATTATCATAAGTTTAATTTTTTTCCGTGTCCCAAATGGATCGGACTTCTTAAATTTTTAAACTTTATGTCATATTATTTACGCACAAATTTTTTTTTTAATTTATATTATATAAGTTGACATACTAGAAGAGTCGTAGTAGTCCGACTATCCCTTAATAATGTTAGTACTAAAGATGACTTAGATCGATTTGGCATAACTAAACTGAGTGACATCAAGTCATAAGGCATTTATTTGTTTAATTTTTAGTTTGGAGAATAATTATAACTTGGCTCCTCATCATCATTCAATGCAACTTGTAATTTTAAATTATTATTTTCTTCTATTCACAATAGAACTTTGGAACTACTTGCATAAAATATCAATACTCATGTTTCGTGTCTACAAATATCACGAGTACACTTACATAAACAAATACAATTTGGCCATCACACCTCTAACACAATTGTCAAGATTCGTTGTTCGACAAACACTACATCATTATTAGCTGATATTCTCAAATACTTTATGTTTTATTTTTTGTTACAACCCATTGAGGTGATAACTCGTTGGGAACTAAATACAAAACGAGGGTTCAGAAAGTACAAAGAGAATTGTGCCCTATCTTAAATGAATGCAAGAGTTGGATCAATTATAAGGTAAGATCGTACATCCAAAGTTGAGCATGTGATGCAACAGAGACCAACCTTTTAACCTTTTCAACATCAATCATATAGATAAAAAATAATACATATAAAAAAAATTAATATAATTCCTCGCTATTTTGTCATATTCGTTCATAGTCGTATGCTTGTTCCAAATCCCTTTTACTTACTTTCACATAATATGTTTTATTTATTATTATTTTCACTTGTTATCTTATTATTTTAGCTAAAATGTATTATAGGGAATATTAGCTAAGGTTTAATTAATTTATATTAATTTCTGAAATCACATTAAACTTTATTATAAGTGATTATTCCTTGAATCATTATAACGTTTGAAAGTTTATTGGCTACTTGCCACGTTGATGTACCGTGTAACTTATGTCCACTAAGGCAACTACTTTATTTTTCTCCTTTTTTTCAGGCCTTTTTAATTTTAATTTTAATAAAATATACATATATATATATCATTCTATTTTAATTTTCAAGATTATATGCCCTTCCACACAGAAAAATAAAAAATAAAATCCGAAAAACTTAATTGGTAACCCATTTCTAAGAAAAGAAAGTGTATTTGGCTTTATTCTTTTATTTTTATTTTTATTTTTTTTGTTCCATAAATTCTCATATTATTGTACAAGCTTTATTCCCCTTTTCTCTTGATTTGGCCCTTCTTTGACTCTGCCATATGAATTAAGAAAGGAGAATAATATATATTAGTTATTATTTATTATTACATTTGTAGGTTAATTGGATATATTACGAAGTAAACCCATACTTACTTTCTTGAGTTCTTATTTATCTAATACATAATTAAGATTTAATTATATTATTTCTCTTTTTATGTCCGACCAATTCAATTGCTTGGAAACGACACGTCAACGTAAATTTAAGCAGTTACCAATTCTATTGATTATTAGTTTTTATAAATAAATATTTGTATTATTCTAAATAATAATAACAATAATTTATTATTATTATGAATTCACGGACACGACAGGAATTTTCTGACAAATATTATCCTCACCTTATAAAGGGTGTCCAAGTACTCTTACACGATAATAACTAGTAAAGGTGTCGAATAATATGAACGATGGCCCAATAATTCATTGCCGTTGTGGGTAATGGGAATTTCTTTCATATAAATAGAATATTATATTATTTAATTTTAGATAATTTTGAGTAAATAAGTAATTCAATTATTTAATTTTTTTTTGTGAGAATAAATTAAATAATTTATTATTGAGTTTATTCAATATAAAATAAAGTAAGAGAATAGTATGAGAATTTTATATAAATAAAATTATTTCAATAATTTGAACTAATTAAAAATTGATTTAATATTCATATTTTATAAATAATATGTGTCTCCATTTACAAAAATAATGTGACATAGACGGTAATAAAATATTGGCAGAAAATATTAGATTGAAATTAAGTGTTGAAAGATGAAATTAAATTAATAATTTTAGGTTGGAAGATCAAAAATATAGTTTAAACCGATTTGACTAATAATTAGTGAGATTTTGAGTGGGCTGGGCCAAGGAAGTTGGGCCCTATGTACTATGATCCAGATGTGGACCAAGAATCCAGGGAGGGCCCGGTCATTTTACACAGCATTTCATCTTCCTTCTTGAAAGGTAAAATTCAGCAAAATAATATGTTCCTTTCGAATTACCAAAGCTATGGCGGCTTAAGCTCAGTCTCAGTCTCAGTCTCAGTTTCAGGCATGTACAGGTATTGAAGAACTGGTTGAGGCGCAAGCTTGCAAGCGTTCAATAATGGCGTTTCGGTTTACCAATCCTTTATGGTGTGCAAGTGGAAGACCCTCTTTCACGCACTCGTCGTATTTCTCCAAAGCCGCTACAATGTCGCTGAAATCCGGCCGCTTCGATGGATTCGCCGCCCAACACCGCTTTATCAGGTGTGCTAAAGCCGGTTGACAACTTGCCGGCAATGGCGGCCTCTCGTTCTGCCCAAATCAAAGTAAGGCATTTCAACACTCAAAACCCTAACCCTAGTATTTTTGGCAACTCAATTGTTTTGAACGGATTTTTCATCGAACAGATAAGTATAAAAAATCAGCATTCATTGGGGAAGTGGGAATTTGAAAACTGGTACCTTCTCGGCGACGGCAAAGGCAGCCTGCACGGGAGTCATCCCTTGAAACGGAAGCAGAACCGTGGTGAGCTCCCACAGCACAATCCCAAAGCTGTACACATCAACTTTGCGAGTGTAAGGCTTCTCTTTAATCATCTCCGGCGCCATCCATCTGTAAGTTCCCATGTTCCCTTTTGTTTCTCGACACTGTGTTTCGAGGCAGGAGGTTCCAAAATCCGCTACTTTTACTCTCATTTCATCGTTTAGAAGCAAGTTATTTGATTTAAGGTCTCTGTGGATTACCCCTTGGGAATGAAGGTATTCCATTCCTCTTGATATGTCTAGAGCTAGCCTCAGTATTGTCTCTATTGACAGTGAATATGGCTCTTTCTTGTTAAGATACATTCTCAGAGTTCCTTGTGACATATACTCTGTAATTATGCAGTATACCGGTGGCTTTTTACAGGCTGCAATGAACTGTATTGGAAACGGACATTAATTTAGCATCCCATAAAAAGTTTTGTTGTCAGTTCATATTTCAGAGAGGGAAGGGCAATATTTTTGCCATAAGGAACAACAGGGAACAAGAGACGAATTATAAGGAATAGCATGGCACCTGTTTATGTTTGAAACAATAGAAGGTTGAAATTTTACCTGAACTATGCTGGGATGAAAGAGACGAGAAAGCAAGGCAACTTCAGACTTGAATTGTTGCTCAAGTTTGACTCTTGTTTCCTCCTTTTGGTTTGGAATTCTGACCATCTTCACAGCAACGGCTCTCTGCTTATAAATTCCACGGTATATCCGACTGTGCGCACCGGAGGCAAATTTGTTGCCAATGAAGAGCTGAGAGAGATCAGCTGTCCACTCCTCCTGATCCTCCTTTGATGTCTCCCAAGTTTCCATATTTTCAGACTCTAGGATCATCGACCACGATTCCAAACTATCAAACCTTCTCCTTTCCATATTTTCCATTTCAGAATTCATCTGGGATTTCAAGGAGAAAAGGGTTGATAATGGCTTGCTCTTTGATTTACGAATGCAAAGTGAACCAAAACATGAGGACGCCATGAAGATTGTTTACGTGAAATGGTGTTTGTTTATACCAAACTCAGAAGGTTGTTTTTATGTCAAAGCAAACAATCGGAAGGAATTTTCCTTCTGAAAGTATGAATTGCTTTTAAGAAGTGCATGAACTGATTCAAAAACATGGATTCTAAAGAAGAATGATGATAATTGGATTTGGGAATTCATGAATTTGTTGAATCAATGATGGAAAGGACAAGACCCAAAGAAAAAGAAAAGTTTTGCAGAAAATAAGAGAGAGAACAGTTATCCGCGTCAAGCATTTGTACCTTTTGTATAGTTGGGCAAATGTTCATGAAAAGACCCAGAATATATCAGAGAAAAAACCAAACCTAAAGATGGAACATGGGATTTCATGGCTTCAGGAAATGGAACCGAAGGAGAAGGAAGAGAAAAAAAAAAAAACAGGAAAATTTAGATGTAGAAGAGAACAAAAGGGTCTGATTTTCACGGTTGTGTATGACAGTAGAAAGACGATGAAAAAGGGGAGATCTTCCAGGGGCGTCTCGTGATTTAACCTCTCTTTTTTGTAAAGAGGGAACCACTTTAATTGTTCTTTCTTTCTCAACTGAATCCAGCTCCTCTGTTTCTGTTTCTGTTTCTGTTTCGTTTGCCATCATCAATGCCAAGTGGCCGAAGTGGCAAGGCCTCAATGGATTACCTTTCAACTCTCAAGAACAAATGGGCATATGTGCCAGTGCCAACATTTTCCCCAAAAAAAACTCAAAAGTGGGAGACACACGTGGGCCAGGCTAAAGTGAAAAAGTAGCGATCAATAGTGAAGAACATGGTGGTCTCAAGCTTAATGCAATGGATGGACATAAGATTCTCTTACTTAGTGCTTCTCAAATCTTTATTCCTTAGCTATTGGTTTGTGTTCATTGATTGGGGTTATCATCGCCGTTTCTACTATCAGTTGTCTGTTGGGAGTAGACCGACTTCCAATTGCCATGCCAAGCCAAGCTTGTAATGCCTCGTTTTGGAAATGTTCCAAATTAATTTTCTAACTCCTTTTTGTGTTGGGCTGGTCTAACTCATATCCTATTGGCCCAATCAACTCCCTAGCCCACCCAACTTTCGGCCCAATCAAGGCCCAAATTGGAAGTAGGATTTTGGAGTTATAGCCCACCAAACTTATAATGGAATTTATGTGGTTGTTATTAATTTACATCTCCATCTCTAAATTTCTTATTTTAACCTATGTGAGCTATCAAAACACGTAACTAAACTAATAAATAGGGAGGACCCAACTCCAAACAAATGCATGTTAACAATAATATTTATTTATTTCTCAACTATTAATTTTATATTCAAGTGTCCTACATTCATATCAATAATACACACTTCCATGATGTTGATTGAAACCTCAAAGTTTTCATTTTCCGTTATAGGTTGATATGTATAAAAGAAATTTGGAAGTGAAAGTTTATAATATACGTGTCGGTGCTTTGATTTTGGGGTTTAGGAAAATTGGAAAATCAAACCGGTTGGGTTGTGTTTAGACGTTTCAATCCGTGAATAATTTGGGGTGGCAGGCATGCATCTAAGTCCTTGTCCGCTGATCTTCCAACAAAGATCAGAGTTGGCAAAATTCTGACCGACGGATCGGATCAAGAAGCGTCCACATCTGCACCCAGAGCGAAATGAAGCCAAGAAAAGAGGTTTTTACACATAGGTGGGAGGGCGGTGACATGGACGTGAGATCTACCGGTGGAGGGAACGAGGGGTCCCACGTGGCACTGATATTTAATTTGTAGAAAACAAAAAATTTGAGGATCTGGGCCGTCGAAGGCAAATTCGGAGGACGTGATGACACACTTAGAGAAGATCTTGAGTGGGCCCAACGAGACCGATTTTAAATTGAGGGCCCAATTAAAAAAAGAGGTTTAAAATTTAAATTTTTTTTGAAAAAAAAGGGAAATTGGAGGTAAGCCATATAAAGTAAGAAATTTAGGGAAGGGGGTGGTAAATGAAAATGATAAGATTAGGTTATTCCAGACATTTTTGTGCTGGAAGGGGGGGTGTTTGGATCTGGGTGCCCACTTAGTTTTGTTAAGATTAGCTTATTCCACCCTTGTTCTGTTCTCAACTAAACTGGGTAAGGTTGATCCATTTTTAACTTCACTCTCGTAATTTTATACCATTAGCTTTCCATAAGTATCCGGTTAAAAATATATTTTATTGGAATACAGGAAACATCCATTTATGTGTTACAAATTTTAATTTTGGAAAATAAATAAAGAGGGAAAGAAAGAAAGAAAGCCGTAGAAAATGATAAAAATAATTATGATCCTTGTCTTTTTTGGGTGACACAGAGAGGCAGTAAAAGAATTTTCGAAGAAATTCAAAACTGTACCGTAAAACATTTAAGATAAAATGTTTAAAAAATAATAATAAATAAAAGAGAAGAGGATAGAATGGTAAATTCAGAAAAACATAACCCCTTTTATTTCTTCATTATTCATCAAACTCTTATCTCATTTCTTTCCATAGTCGCCATATTTCAAATTTACTGATAGGACTTGAAGGGGGTATTTTTGTGATTTCATACCCTCCCTCTCCACCCTTCTCTGCTCTAACTCCATTACTCTGCTCGTTCTTCTTCTCCTCTTCTCAGCTCATTCACCAACACTCACTCCCATTTCCACTTCCACTTCCACTTCATTCTCTTCATCTTTTCACTTTCAATGGCCTCTCGGATGCCATCTCACCAGCTCAGTAGCGGCCTCTATGTCTCCGGCCGCCCTGAGCAGCTCAAGGAGCGGCAGCCGACAATGGGCTCACGCGCCGTACCTTACACTGGCGGGGACATCAAGAAATCCGGGGACCTTGCTAAAATGTTTGACATTCATGTTGATTCTCCAACTTCCGGTCCTCCTCACTCCAAATCCTCTCGCCCTTCCTCCTCCTCTCAGCACAACAGCGGATCGGTCCGATCCGGCCCTAATTCCGGACCTGTCATTAAGCACTCCAATTCCGGTCCGATCTCCAAGAAATCTTCCGGCCCGATTTCGCTTCAGCCAACAGGGCTTATCACCTCTGGCCCTATTGGATCCGGTCCCCTTGGATCGTCCGGCAGCGTCGGTGGAGGACGCCGCTCCGGTCCACTGGAGCAGACGACGTCATTTGGGAAGACGATGTACGGGTCGGCGGTGACGAGTATAAGCGAGGATGTGAAAATAGGGTTCAAGGTTTCGAAGGCGGTGGTATGGGTGTTCCTGGGAGTTTTAGCCACCGGTTTGTTGGTTGGCGCGTTTCTAATGGTGGCGGTGAAGAAGCCGATTCTACTGGTGGCAGTGGGAGGGATATTGGTCCCGGCGGTGGTTGCGGTTGTTTGGAACATTGCTTGGGGTAAAAAGGGACTGATAGGGTTTGTACGAAGGTATCCGGAGGCTGAGCTCAGAGGTGCTATTGATGGACAGTACGTGAAGGTCACTGGGGTAATTTTCCTCTCTCGCTTTCTGATATTCTTCTTTTTCTATGTTAAGTTAATGAGCTATTTAATTAAAAGTAATATGACTCAAATTATTCTTCATCTTATGGCTAATCATTGAGCATCTTTCCTTTTCATATTAAAAATTGAAACTTGTTTGTTCAGCTTCTGTAATCCGTTTGACCATCCTAACCACCACCATGGCATCATTCTCATAAATTAAACTAGCTACCTATGTACTCTTCTGGTAAGCTCCTGGTAAACAGGACCTCTAAATTGGTACAACTACAGGCTTCCTTTTGCATCTACTTTGGAACTCCCAGCTGTTTTTGGAAACTTCAAATAGTCTTCTTACTCCACATCTGGTTGTTGGTGGCGTTGGCGTTGGCGTTGACCACTAATTATTGAAAAAACTTAATTATGAAAACAGACCAAGCCAAACCAAACCAAACCAAACCTCACTTCACATCAATCACTAATGATTTCAAATGCAATATAGATCAGTAGATAACCTTCCGCCATTCATTTACATGAACCTGCAAATTCATACAACTAAACCTGGTAGGTGAATGCTAAGATCTTTTGTTGTGTTCTTTTTAGGTGGTCACCTGCGGTAGTATTCCACTAGAATCATCTTACCAGAGAGTACCCAGGTGCGTTTATGTGTCTACGGAGCTGCATGAGTATAAAGGATGGGGCGGAAAACCTGCAAATCCTAAACACCGCTGCTTTTCTTGGGGATCTAGATATTCTGAGGTCGCTTTTGTTCTTGTATTTACCACTTTCTTAGAACTTGATGGATGGCTTATGGCTATAAGTTCTCAACTTTGGTAAATTTTTCTTTGACTGATACAGAGATATGTGGCTGACTTTTACATATCAGACTTTCAATCTGGGTTAAGAGCACTGGTGAAAGCAGGGTATGGTGCGAAGGTTGCTCCATTTGTTAAACCCTCAACAGTTGTTGATGTGACTAAAGAAAACCGAGACTTGTCTCCTGGCTTCCTACGCTGGCTAGCAGATCGCAAACTCTCTTGCGATGACAGAGTGATGCGCCTTAAAGAAGGGTATTACACCAACACCACATTCTCCTAACATGATCAGAATGCCACCATTTTCATGTCAGATTCTGATGAAAGCTAAGTACATATTTACAGGTACATCAAGGAAGGAAGCACCGTGAGTGTGATGGGAGTTGTTCGGCGGCACGATAATGTCCTCATGGTGGTTCCATCAGCAGAGCCCGTCTCGACAGGATGCCAATGGGCTCGTTGCCTCCTTCCCACCTACGTTGAAGGTTTAATCATAACATGTGACGAAAATCAGAATGCAGATGTGGTTCCCGTGTAGATAAGCCATAGTTTCATCACAATGTTTCCGAGTAAGCATCCGAAGGATGTGAAAAGGAATCCTATGAGACACACAAGATCATTATATATACCACTTTTCTTTTCCAAGTTTAAACTCTATCAGAAAAAAGAGCAGGTAAGTTGGCCTAGAAGATGCAAATCAAAGAATGCAGAATATCAGATAACAAACAAGTATTATCTGTTGTCTATGGAGTTACTGTGTATGAAGAGCTAATGGCGTTAAGAAGCCACAAGACTCTTTTCCTATTATGTACATAAAACTCAGCCCCTCTAGTGGGAAATCTCACATGAGTCGATATTTGAAGGTTTATTTCGGTGATAATTGCCTTAATGTTTGAGTTTTATTACGAATCTACTTAAATGTAATTCCGAATTCTCCTAGCTGGATATTGCTTGCGTTCTCGCCGATCCAAAATTCAAAATTCCAGTTTGGATAAGATCAGATTTTGGTTCCTTTGAACATGTGAATTTAGGCATCAGTTTCATCTCGGTCACTACAAGATGCAAAACTCAGAATAACGAAGAGAAAAAAGTCCAATAAGAAGTTTTTGAAGTCGTAGCACGTAAGATGTTTTTGAAGAAATCAAATGAATAATCAATCTGGTTCCGTTTCCGGTTCCGTATAGATGTTTTTGAAGAAATCAAATGACAAAAGATTTGTAGTGTAGACTAAATCACAGGTAAACTCTGTTGTTCTGATTCTAGAATATAATTTTGAAACCGTATAACTTAGGATGAAAAGAACGCACTAGGGTTCGCGCCGATTCAAAAGTTGGAGAAATTAAGAGATATTATCCAGGAATCAAAATCAGGCAATAGATTTATTCGGAAACAAGAATGTGGACGAGCAACAATCGAATCGCCAACCAATAACAAATGACGACTGAAACGATATCTCGGCCTTCGCTATACC